TCTAGCGAGTAAACAAAAAAATGTACTAGCCAATGGCGATTCAACTGCCAAGGTGTCCGTAGAGGGTTGACCACCTAAATGTCCTAGCAACCCTATAGCAATGCACTAAAACACTTAAAAAACCTTAGTAGCTGTATGGCAACCATCCGCAAAATCCTAGCATCATGTTTTGCATAGAAAATTTTAATTCGGGCAAACACCACTTGTGTTTGTTTATAAAAGTGTATAAAAAATTGAAATTAAGGCCAGTAAGAGGCCTGGTTGAAAACAGTCAAACCATAATTAAACTGCTACAGTACAGTACAGTACAGTAGACACCAAAACCTTGTGCTGACATCATGTGGCATGGTTTAAGCGGAAAACCTAGCAGTATTTAAAGGAAATTTTCATAATATTTGGGTCTTTAGCCTTAGGCATTGGTTGGAAATAAATCTTCGACAGGGATTAGAGTGCTATAAAGCACAGTTAACTCCAAGTTCTCTCAGCTAAAAATTGTCTTATTTTTTTTTCTTTTATAACTGGGCTTTTGAACACATTCCCTGCCATCTGCCACCTGAGTAATAGGAATATGTTCATTCAACATCAACAAACTCAGCCCCTTGACCACATCTGTTACTGGATATCAGTCTCATAGATGTCCTTGGTTGTAATAGTGTAATTATATTAAACTGTATTGTCGTCACAGATTTACTGAATGGGATGGAAAAAAGAGCCAGTTACTGCAGGGAAAAAAAAAACTTTTGCATTTACTCAGCCAGAGGTGAATGACCAATTGGGAGGAAGACCTTTGGCACAGACTGTGAAATGGAACTAGAACAAGCTGCGTTTTTTGGAATTGGAGGCGTCCATTCATATTTACCTGGAAGAACATCTGTGTCTGCAATAGTTTGATGAAGTGACACTCTCGGGTCAAGAGAGAAAAAAAGTATATTTGTTCCTTTTTCTGTAGCTAAGGATTACATAAGATAAATAGTGCAAAAACAGTTCAGATACTGCAGACTGTCTTGGATTGTCTTTGTTTTGGACCAAAACTCCAACTGTCAGATGTTTTTAAAGATTAACTAAATCAAGTTTAAATTGAGTGGCTAAGAGCTAAGCTGTCTTGGTTTAAGTTAGTGATTTAAATTTATGAATCAAGTTCCCAGTGGAGTGCTGCTGAGATATTGTGTCTGCTGTCTGCTGTTCAACTGTATCATCAAATGGGCTTTGTGAAGCCAGGCAGAAAAAATGTTTTGTTTGTTGTCTGCATGAAATCTGATTTTTGCAAACCATATTTACTTGTGGCTTGAAATCTGATTAAAATCAGATTGTATTTCATGTCAGATTTCATGCAGGTTGGAATACAGCATGTCATGCACAATGCAGTTGTGCAGTACAGCTGTGCCCACATTCATTCACTCACTTAACTACTGTATGTTGCATTCAGTATGTAGTAAACTGTAAATTAATAAACAAGTAAGTGATTTTGGACACATTTACAAATGTGTAAAATACAGTAATTATGTAAATATTTTTGTGTAAATAAAGGCACAATGTAACTGTCACGTGTATGTTCCTGTTTGCCCTTATTTGGTTTGATTCCTGTTTCCTGTTCTCGTTATTAGTTAATCATCGTTCATTCTGTTCACCTGTTATGTTTCATTATCCCTTTTGTCTCCACTCCATTTAAGCCCTGTGTTCTCCTGAGTTTCTTTGTCTCGGATTAATGTTATTTTGAATGGTCCAAGTGTGTTGATGTTTATTAAAGTATCTCTACGTTTACTCCTTCTCCGTGCGTTTTTGGCTACAACCACGACCCGTGACAGAATCCGAGACCTAAACAAAATAGTAAGCGGCACCCCTTCTCCCCATTTGGTTTTCGTTTGTTGAAAGTTTTTTGTTTTCCCTGCTTTTTC